ACAGACATTGATTGGTAATTTCATATTGCCTCGAACTGTTCTTGGGAATAAATTAATATAATTTGTGTTTTAAAAGACATAACATTTGTTTCAATGACAGATTTAATCTCCCTTCCGACAGTATTTGGATGTGTTCAGGAGAAAATAATTTAGAGGTATAATACTTCTTTTCCGCTTCTGGTTGCCAAATCAAAAAAAGCTCTTGAAACTCAATATCAAGTAAAGAGATATTTTCAAATGTTTTGGAACTAACTTGGCCCGAACTCATATGTGTATAGAATAGTTTGTGAAATGGTTTTAAGGTGGCAAAAATCTGAATCATTATTGGATCGGTAATGATTTCTTGTCTGTTTTTTAGTTGAGTCATGACCAGTTCCCACTTGGAGAGACTTGACATGCCTAAAATATGTAAATTTTCTAGAATATCTAATATTGTTAATAATATCAAACTACCGGCTGCTCCACATGACTTAAATGCTATGGGAAGGGAGGGAAACAGGACAGACATTGATTGGTAATTTCATATTGTCTCGAACTGTTCTTAGGAATAAATTAATATCATTTGTGTTTTCGCAGATAAAATACATAAAATTTGTTTCAATGACAGATTGAATCTCCCTTCCGACAGTCTTATCACAGTTTATCTGTAAAAATATAAATTAACTTAATCCTTAACTGATATATACCCCCTAACTGACAAACAAAATTGTTACTATATGAGCTGTAAGAATAATAGTATTAACACATTAAACATTAACATTAAAATTCATTAACACATTCATTAACACACATTGACGAAAGTTACTTTTGGAACTGATAAAGGTATTGTAAAACCAAATATTTTAGAGTAATTTAATAAAAATAATTATTAAGAACTATTTATACATCTTAAAACTGATCTCCTATACACACTGTGTTAGTTGAAAAATGTTATCTATTTCATCATTATTGATTGAGATGAATTAGGGTTAACTACCCAAGGTTTGGTGATTTAGTCATTTTTTTTATTTCATCATGTCATAGAATTCTCTTTTTTTATCACAAGTGAGTAAAAAATACAATATTAATTACCATATTAATCCTCAGTTAATTCTGTTTCTCTAACTTTTAATAAGTAAAGATTAAGTGAAAAAATATACTGTCTTAAATTTTTACACTTTCCCTAGTGTTTTATAACAATTTCTAGTGATTGGTAACCTAGAACCCAGTGTTTGATAACATAGTTGTTTTTATTTAACCAACTAATAATACACATAAATAACTACATTTATCTTACAAATTCACATTTTATCGTTTTGGTACAAGGAGGTGAGTTGAACAAAAATATTAGGTTAAGACGCCAATGTAAAAAATGTTATATTTAACGCTTTACCTGTCAGGCCTACAAATCATATTATGAACGAGTGACAAACAATCAACTTTAATTAATGTTATGGATGTGATTAATAGACCAGATCTTGTAATGAAATGAAATGAAATGAAATGAAATGAAATGAAATGATTTATTGTGTACAGTCAATAATTAAAATAGGTTACCTAGGCTATTAATCTGATTCACTTTCACTTAAAACAAAGGGTTATTGTCCCAATCACAATCCTTCGAACAAAGATGACAAATAAAATTAACTTCGTGACCATCCTAGTCGCTCTCTTCCATCCCGAAGATGTCCAAGTGTTTTTTTTTTTGTAAACGCTTATAATTTACAGCGTAAGGCGAAAACAGAGAATTCTGTACATAACAAATTTTTGGTTGAGTTTTCGACCACTGGACTACCTATAGTATATATAAATATATATTAGCGAATTTCCCTATAGGGAAGTAGCTATTACCGTAGGTCTCATGGTAAGACTTAGGCCCGGGACCGATTTACTTTTTCATTTTAATGTCCCCAGAGGCCAAAAACACCATTCGTTCAAATTTTTATATATGTATATATATATATAGATATATATATATATAGATATATATATGTGTGTCCGTGAACACGATAACTTGAGTAATTTTTATCCGAAATTTTTATCCAAATTTGGTTTGAAGGTGTAAGGCTGGATAAACTTGAATGAGTTCGGGATCCAACATGATCGGACCATGGGAACAGGGTTTTATGGGGTAAAAATTGGTTTTTCTCACTTTTTACCCTCAAAACACAAAATTTCCCAATTTTTCTCTAAACCTTCTTAAAGAGCTTAAAAAAACAAACAATTCAGTATATCAAAGTGTTTTTGTACGGTTATTGGTTACGGAGAAAACTAAAAAAATGGTAAATTTAAAATTCCCATGTTATTCTTATGGAGAATATTGTAAAATGTTGTAGTTTGCTTGTTTATGGATATATTTTGATCAAACTTGGCAAATTTATTTATTTTATAGTAAGCTATCAATATTTTACTAAAAACACACCACACTACTTTATTAGTTTCCTTGTAGCAGCAAACCTAGGTACTCGTTAAACCTAATGTTATTTAAATAGATCAATTGAAAATCAATTCGGCCAAATGGAAATTCGCTTAGACGGCAGGTTTGCTGCGGCGGGGGTATTCATAAAACTAAATATGTATTTAGATTTACTGTAATAATCTTGTGCTGCATCTAACTTTTTCTTGTCAAATCTTACACTAAAATATATATATATATATATGGTTGGAATATGTTATAACATTTACCTATGTCTCTTTTGATAATTGTTATTTCAATCATTTTCCACTCATTTTCTGGGCTCTTACACTCTTTGGCCCATTTCAAAATGGTTGTGCTACCCCTGTCAAGGTACACACAGGATGTAGGACTTGTTAACCATTAATTCAGGACTGCATCATATTCCATCACAGTACATTTAAAAATTATAGTCCACATTATCTGAAATCACACAATTTATATATATATGGTTGGAATATGTTATAACATTTACCTATGTCTCTTTTGATAATTGTTATTTCAATCATTTTCCACTCATTTTCTGGGATCTTACACTCTTTGGCCATTTTTAAAATGGTTGTGCTACCCCTGTCAAGGTACACACAGGATGTAGGACTTGTTAACCATTAATTCAGGACTGCATCATATTCCATCACAGTACATTTAAAAATTATAGTCCACATTATCTGAAATCACACAATTTATATATACAACATATGTATATGGTTGGAATATGTTATAACATTTACCTATGTCTCTTTTGATAATTGTTATTTCAATCATTTTCCACTCATTTTCTGGGATCTTACACTCTTTGGCCAATTTTAAAATGGATTTACCTATGTCTCTTTTGATAATTGTTATTTCAATTATTTTCCACTCATTTTCTGGGCTCTTACACTCTTTGGCCGATTTTAAAATGGTTGTGCTACCCCTGTCAAGGTACACACAGGATGTAGGACTTGTTAACCATGAATTCAGGACTGCATCATATTCCATCACAGTACATTTAAAAATTATAGTCCACATTGTCTGAAATCACACAATTTAGGCGTACTTTTTACATTCCAATGAGGTGTTATTAAATTTGATTTCTAATAACATGTGCTGTCACCATCCGAACAATCGTTCCATAAGTATTACATAGTGACATAATAAAAAAATGACCAAAATGATGTTTTTTTAAAACATTAAACTTAACAAATATACATTCACTGTCACATATTACATTCACTGTCTTAGTAATTAAGCACAAATTTTAGAAAACTCAATGAAGCAATGGAAACACCATAAGTTTTTCATCATTAACACATTCATCATTCATGTTCACACTTTTACATATTATGCTTTGCACTGGCCAAGCTTTTAATGACCTTAATGTCCAACTGGGAACTTTTAAACTGTAGGTCAATTAATATTTCGTACAAGTTTTCTTTTCCAATGGCAACTTTTTTCCTAGCTCTGTCGAAAAAGCAAAATTTTCAATTTCTATGATCTCCCCGCTGTCTAATATACAACAATTGTTAGAACTTTGTTTGTTGTAAGGGGTCTAGCGATATTTGAGTTCTGTTAAGCGAGAAAGTCTCGGCTAATCTTTTACTTATCTGTTGTAAAGGCTTTGAAGTGCTTCTTACTCTTTTCTTTATGGAATACAAATAAATTTCAAATTGAAAGGCTGAAATTGGGTGTAGAGTGAAATTTGGAATGTAATGTGAAAAGTTATCAGCGTCATCAACAATATGTATTAAGTAGTGAAAATTCTGAGTAATGTAAGAGTCTCCATCTATTGTAGCTGAAACAAAATATAACAAGAATATAACAGCAAATGTACAGGGTGTTTTAGAACTCCTTACCAATATTTTAGGGCATTGTTTCATGGTAGGAATCATATCTAAATATCATATTTAAATTGTCCGGAAGTCCTAAGTTACTCACACAGACGCCATTTTGTTTTTTTTCACTTATTAATTTTTTTCCTTCCTAATGGTTTGACGTAGGAAATTGAAACTTTGCACAAACATTTATACTAACTAGACAAAGCTACAGAAAAATTAGAAAAAAATTGCAAATTCACAAAACAAAATGGCGGCCATTTAAAATTTTGTTTCTTCAATAAAAACCGTTGATTTTCCAAAGATTTTACAAGAATAACTTTTTTTAGGACATTTAATTACAAATTGATTGACACCTTATTTGTTAAGATTAGACGAATATTAACTGAGATATGGCAGCTTTAGTGATACATGACCGCTGGAGGTTAGTTGCAGTGCATGCCGAGGCATGCGGCTTAAGTCTGTCACAACAATGCAACAGCCTCTGTTCTCTTTGCAAGTTATTTTAATGGAGCGGTCATATTTCTGATAAATATCTTATTTGCATTTTTACTTTCTTCTTCGTTATAGTGTCCTTTCGACCTGGTGTACAGTATGAATTTTCGTCGTCTGTTCGAAAATTGTGAACCTCTTTTTTGAGATTAGGATTAGTAATGTTGTTTGTTGGATTAGTGAATTGTGGATTTGTTTTTAAGCGACTCATTGGTTGATTTATTACAAGTTTTCTTCTGGCAATTTAGATTTTTTATTAATCAAATGTGTTTCTTTTTCCATTTTTCGGCAATTTTACGTTGGTCCTTTAATTTCTTTTCCAATTTGTCTATCTTCTTTCTATACTTTTCTCTACTTCTTCGAAGTCTCTTTTTCCTTTGAACTCTTTTCTCTTCCTTTGATCTTCTATGCAATTCATGTTCATGAGGGTCATCCATTGCAGAAATTGGAGAATTCGGAGGAGAATCTTCATCCATAACCCTTGTCAAATGTTGATGTTGATGTTTCTTTAATGCGTGCTTGTGGTATCCCTTTCTCCACTCAGCTCCTTGTTTTGTTTTTCCTCTTTCGCTTAAATCGTTTATTCCTTTTATTTGCTTCAATGCTCTTCGTTTTCTTCTCCGTTCCCTTTCCTTTTCCTTCATCATTTCGTATTATTCCGGATTTTCGCGAATCCTTAATCGTTCCTTTCTTTTTCTTTCTGCTGCAGCTGTTCTTTTGCTTTCACTAGTTGGGTTTGCCTGATTTTTTTGACATTTTTTAACCCTTTTCACTATCTATATTTGTCTTGTAAATATACGTAATTAATTATCCTGTAAAACCAATAAAATTGCAAAATTGATTCAACAATTAAATGTTATAAGCATATAAGGCAATATTTTCAAATTTTCAATCTTGACAACTTTTATATTATCAGTTTATTTCACTACATGAATGCATTTCGTAAAGAATTTTATTGAGTAAAAGAAAAACTATCCATCACTCTGAATGGAATCCTTCTAAATTTAGAAACATTTTTTTTACTGTGTTTACATAAAAAATAGAATAGACTTTAGTTCGTAGCTTTACTGCAACAGAGATGTTTGATTACGGTACCTATGATGCATTCAATATTATTTGTAGGCGTCCAAACTTTGAAATTAAACGAAAGTCAATAAAAATTTAAAAATAAAACTTCCAACGGACCTAATATTACGTATATATTTTTTAGTATGATTCCATGAAATAAATAAATGTATTTACAGATGTATTTACACTCACATCCGTCACACTATACTCACGACCGTCTGATAATAGGTGTGACAGTTGTGTGACGGTTTTGAGTGTGACGGTCATGAGGACGTTGCAATAATTCAATATTTATCGCTAAACCAGAACCTAACCTAAATCGTCATTTTGACAGATCAGTTATGCACATCTAAAACAATGAAATATCGAGCCCAGCTGACTCAATTCACAATAATACATTTATAAAAGGCGTGACGGTTGTTAGGAATAGAAAGTACAAGGAAGAAAACTTACCCTTAAGATGTTAACTGATGAATAATTCATTAAAATGAGGTACCTATAATAAACACACATCACAAATTATGGCAACAGGCACAACACTTACTGTAGGCGACTGCAAACTACCACTAGCGCCTCTAGCGGGTTTTTTTTTACTAAATAGCTACTGTGACGGTCGTGAGACCAGACCGAGAGACAGGAGAAAAAAAATGCATTTTTCACATAAACTTGATAGTTTTAACCCTTAGAGTGCCAGGCGAGAAATAAAAGTAACGCTCAAAAAATGCCGATGATTTTTCCCGAAGGTCGCGCTAAAAATGCCGAGCGCGATCTGGCGATTTTTAGGTTAAAATTTCGTAAAAATCGAATTTTCGATATTTCGACCAACGAAAATCGATGTATCGCATCTAGCAACTTTCGACTCAATGTTAATATATGGGTTAAAAGAATCCGAGTATTTATTCGGTTGTTATGACAGCTGTTCGATCATTACGAAACGTCCGGTCAGCCGGACGTTGGCACTTTTGGCTCGTTCTAAAAACGTCCGGTCGGCCGGACGTTGGCACTTTTGGCTCGTTTTAAAAACGTCCGGTTCCCCGGACGTTGGCACTCAAAGGGTTAAAATATGTTTACCGTGACTAAGTGTTTTGTAATATATTTGTCATCCATTCCTAGTAATATGTGCGTGAATTATAGAATATGTACATAAATGAGTTCATTGACATTTCAAATTATTTGATGGGGACAAGTGACGGTTGTGAGTTTATTAACCTTTTTAGGCCACTAAAAAATAAAACAAAATATATATTCATAAAATCGATAATACTGGTCTACTTAAACGTGGTTTTTTAGTATATATACCCTAAAAATTATGAATTATATTTATTATTTCCAAGTTAAGTCTAGCAGGACAATGAAAAATTACTGTGATGAGAACAGCCCCCCGGTTTCAAGATGGGAGGTGAAGGGGGGGGGGGTTATATTGAACATACTTTTTATATGATAAATAGTAAAATGTAGTTGAGAGGGGCTATATAAGAGAGAGATTCTTCGACGCATATCAATCATACTTAAATGTCAACCCAAAACGAGTATTCCAACATGAAGAAAGAGGTAGGGAAAGTATTATAAGTTATCGCGGCCGTTTTTTTAGGTGCGTCAACAGCTGCCCGCCCCATACGAGCACCATGTATAATTGCTAGTACATCTACCATTCTCCTTTACAGTTGTTATATACTAAAATACTACTTGATAAAATGGAAGAATTACCTTATCCAACCACAGTTGCTAGTATGACAACTAGTTTAGTTCCTTAGAACATCGTCAGGTCATTGTATGCAACCACGTCATCAATGTATTAATACATTGTGGTATGTCAAAAGATTCTTTAAAACACTGTCAGAATCACAATAATAAAAACTAGTCATGTTGATAAAAATTGAATAAAAAGTTATAAAACTGGTTAAAACTGTAAAGGCTGGCCAGCACTCTGTTATCACTGTCACTGACTGATTATTTTAGTGAGTTTAAGTTTTGCACTCTGAATCTCGCTTCCCTCTATTAACAATTATTATTAATAACATATAATAGTTAAAACCATGAATAATCCCAAACAATGAACAAAATAAACTGTTTCGACCTTGTTGGGTCTCATCAGGCATGAGGTAGGCAAACAGCCACTCACACGACAGTTTATATTTTATTTTATTTTTTATTATTATTTAGGCTACACTGTTTTCCAGATTTACTGCAGAATGTTCCATTACACCTAGGTTTAATAGTTTTTGGTACAACCAAATTCAAAGACTGGTATTGTGTGTAGCCTTCTCTGCTATTCCTCAAACTTTTTTTCTTCCTGTTGGTTTTTCTTTTTCGTTTTTGGCAGCTCATATTCTCTTCTGGATCCTTCCAATTAAAAATCTTCAGTTGTATCTTGTGTGTTAATTGAAGAATGGTTAATGCCCACGTCATCTTTGATAAAATGTTGAAAACAAAAGTTAGACAGTTACCACACACGGCAAATATTTCAACGTTACAATTTTTTGATTAACAATATTTGATATGGCTAATATTCGGTATATCTTGGTGACATTCTCCTTGATTATGAGTTAAGGGGGTCACTGACGCCCTATATTGCCAATGTTAATTTCATAAACTTTAGGTACATATATCTCTGTAACTATGAAAGCTAATGACTTGAACTTTTTACAACTTAATATTTGTATATACCTATATGAACAAACAGAACCGCTTTTGTGAATATATATATATATAATATAAATATTTTATTTTAATTAATATATTTTTTTTTACACATTTTTGTAACAAAAATTATTTTTTTCAGAAGGTTCTAACAAACTTACAGACTTTATTTTGCCTACATAACTGTACAACATTCTAACCTATATGCAGTAAAAATTTCAATATTGTGTCCCAAACAGTTTTTGAGTCAAGTGTAGGCTACCTACCTTAAGTTACAAAAATGTCTTTTTACGGAAACGGAGGATTAAGACTCACCCAGTAGAAGATTGGTCTAGAGTCTCCTTCTAAAACCTCCCAAGACCATATGAAGGCTCCTCCAACTCCTCCAAAGCTAACTTCCTCTTTCTTTTAGCAACTCTTGCATCTTTTGTCATTTCTTTTGCCGCTATTTCTGCCTTACAGAGTCGCATAACACCCAAGTTTTTTTATGATTTCACTCACTGATTTCTCGCACAATTTAACTCCTAACTTACAAAAAACATCTAACTTACTGCTAAATCCATTGTTAAAGCTTAATACACCATCAAACACACCCAATCTAAGAGTATTTAGCCTCACAAAGGCACTTTTTGGTACTTTTGTCCACACTACACGGTTGAAGCTTTCATTTGGGGTCTGCGTCCGCTGATCTAGACATTTTTTCAAAAGCTCAGGTTTGGCAAGATCTTGATAAATCTTTTTTATAGCAATCATTATTGCAAGGGGCAAATTGTGCTTCTTATGACTGAAACTTTGGTTGAGAGCTTTTGCCTTATTGTACCCACACCACGATTTGGGTCCCATCGGTCATAGTCCATGATTCGGATCCTCGTCCGTTGAAAGATTATGAAAATATGTTGCCCAAACTTTTTTTTTTCATTTGCTCCAGGTCAGCCCCTCCTCTTTTTATGGTCAACCAATAATATTCTTGCAGTTTGTCAATTTCAGTGTTAGTAAGCCAATTTTTCTCCCGATTCCTTTTCTAACTGGTAGTTTTGTCTTCTTGAACCCTTTTTTCAAGTCTCTGAGCCTTGTCCCATCCTCTTCTTTACGAGGTTAACACATTCTAACTTTACTAGCTGCACATCATCTCCGTACGGTTTATATTCACAGACCTTATTGAAACCATTACAATCTCCATCACCCAAATATCTTACATAACGCACTCCTTGGTTTATTGAGTTCCGGAACACTTCCAAAGCCCCTTCGTCTTCCATTCCGCCACTTGACCCTGAATAGTTCTTCGTACAAATATGATCTGGAATATTATCCTTGTCTATAGCCACTGTACACTTTTGGCAGTATTTAGACATTATTGACACATCTAAAACATTGCCTGTGTCAAAGCTTGTAACACTTACAAACCCGTTTAGAGACGTATGCCCTCTTTTCTGCCAGGAGCCGTCGAGACAAACTGCTAAATCTGTGGGCGGTGTGTCTTCAGAGCTGTTGACAGCTACAGCTTCTTGTGTGGCCTCAATCATACTGTCCTGGGCTCATTCTTCCACTGATTTACACAGTAATTTATTGTAACAATGGTAATTGTGTGGAGGTGCTGGTAAATCGAGCATCGCGCAAAGTATTCTGGTTGCTGAATAGCCCTTACCGATGGCTCGTAACTCATATACTAATTTAAGATTTAGGTACTGAAAACCTTCCACTGCCAGTTTTATGTGAATTAAAAAAAACTATGAGACTTTAGGCAAAGCCCACTGTATGAAAGTACCCCAACTCAAGTGTATGAAAGTACCCCATCTCAAGTGTATGAAAGTGCCCCAACTGTAGTTGGTATTAAAACCATCATGTGGTTTCTTTATAGGTTAGAAACTCAAAACAACTGATATGCTCATATGATCCTAAAACCATGCGGAACTAAATGCTTTAGTAAAATTACTGTTAA